CAAAAAAAAAAAAAAAAAAAAAAAAAAACAACTTCTCCATATGGAGTCAGAAATTCCACCTTTGCTTTTAATGTCTGTCTATCTGCAGGGGCAACACAGCACCTGTCTATAGTCTCTTCCTCATGGCAGCTCTTCAGATAATACAGAAAGATCTTTGCATTTCTCTTCAAAATTAAACAACTACAGCCCTACCCCCAAACTCTGCTCAAAAGTCTGTTGAATTATGCTGGTCCTATCTAGACTTGGTACCCTCTCCAGTTTACAGATATCCTTCATGAAATGCTAGATTTCATGATGTGGCCTGAGGGCTCAGGACACCTGGCCTGGGCTATGACCTCCAGAAGCTAATTTAAAATGGGGGCCTGGGTCAGTGCTGCACTGTGTGTTTAGCAGAAAACCTTAGTTCCTACCGAGTTTACTGTCACCTCCGATCCCCATGATTCCTTCATTCAAACTGCTATCAAACCACGTCCCCTCCATTCTGTACCTGTGCAGTTAACAGATGTCTTTTCACCTTCTAGACTGGTAAGAATAAGAAAGTCTTACAATCTATGGTGTTGGCGTGGTTCAGAAGACTAGAACTTTCATGCATTGCTGGCAGGTGTGAAAATTGGTAACCCTCTTTCTGCAAAATGGCTAAGCAATAGGGATGAAAACTTTAAATATTTAAATCCTTACCCCTAGTAATTCTACTCCTAGACATTTGTCTTAAGGACTAATAACTAGCAAAGATCTATGTGCAAGGGGGACCCAGAAAAACCCAGAAATTTTGGAGGGCGAGCCTCTTGTAGTACAGGTTTCCCCTGCTAGGTAAGTATTCTAGGAACCACCAGTGTTAGTGTACCAGCTAGCACTGTTGTGAGAAGCTATGTTCTGTTTCAGTGAAATTTCTTTTGGAGATTCTTTGAAAGCGTTTGCCCATTTTATGATAGGCGATTTACACGAACAACCTGCCCACACCTTGCTGAGTGTTCAGCAGTTTTTGACCAAAAACAGCATGACCCCCATGCCCGACCCTCGCCGTTCACCCAGTCTCACCCTGAGTGACTTTTTTTGTTTCCCCAGATGAAAAAAAGTCCTCAAAGGGAAACATTTTGCCTTTGTGGATG